CCTAGCATTCTCGGGGGGGCAGAGGAGGTTGCTCCTGTTGCTCAAGCAGAGTCGAGTTGGATCGATCCACTCACAACCTTCCTGCTACATGGGACCCTCCCCGCAGACCGCAATGCCGCCAGGTGGGTAGAGCCCCAGGCAGCCAAATACATCATAATAGACGGACGGTTGTACCGAAGATCCTACATGCTCCCCTACCTATGCTGCTTGCAACCTCCCGAAACCGATCTTGTACTTCACGACATTCATGAAGGCCTGTGCGGCGGACACCTAGGGGGTAGGGCCCTCATTCAAAAAGCACTACGACAAGGGTACTATTAGCCAACAACGAAAGTAGACGCTGTTGAGTTAGTTAGAAAATGCGATAAGTGCCAGAAGCACGCCAATATCCACCATCGGCCTGCCGTTGACCTCAAGTATCTCACCAGTCCATGGCCCTTTGTGCAATGGGGCATCGACCTACTCGGGCCATTCCCGCCAGCAACAGGTGGGAGGAAGTTCCTAGTAGTGGCGGTAGATTAATTCACGAAGTGGGTAGAAGCTGAACCTCTCGTGACAATCACAACTCGAAATGTCCAGAACTTCTTTTGGAAGAACATAGTATGCCGCTTCAGGTTACCTCGGGTACTGATTTCCGACAATGGCAAGCAGTTCGAGGATACCAAATTCCAGGAATGGTGCCAAGACATGGGAATTTGGCAGAACTTCACGTCGGTCGCGCACCCGCAAGCAAACGGTCAGGCAGAAGTCACGAGCAGAGCTATCCTCCGTGGACTGAAGGCCAGGCTAGACCGAGCTAAAGAACTATGGGCGAACGAGCTACCCAGCGTCCTATGGGCCTACTGGACTACAGAGAAGACCGCCACTGGATAAACTCCCTTCAACCTCACCTATGGCACAGAGGCAATCATCCCAGCCGAAATCGAAATCCCCTTATTACGACTGGAAGCGTACGGTGACAAGACCAATGACGACGAGCTACGTACCAACCTCGACCTACTCGACGAGGTGAGGGACCTCGCCTACATCCGGACCGCAGCATACTAGCAAAGGGTAGCTCGGTACTACAATGCCAGAGTCAAGAAGCAAAACTTCCGCGTCAGCGACTTGGTTCTCCACAAGGTCATGGTACCTGAGCCCAGCGTTGGCAAGATCGGACCGAACTGGGAAGGACCCTACCGAGTAAAGAGAGTACTCGGAAGAGCGTACGAGCTCGAAACCCTGGAGGGTAGACAAATACCCCGGGCATGGAACATCGTCAACTTAAGGCGATATTACCTGTAAATTACCGAACTAAGTGGACTATGAGCCGCCCCCAGAGCCTAAGGGCCAGAATGCCGAGCTAACAAGGACCTCGGCAACATAAGACCCAGTTGCCTCTTCGGCATGGGCAAAGCCTAGGAAAGTATCCTAGCCAAAGGATTAAAGTGCCAAGCTGATAATGACCTTGACACCATGAGACCCAGTCGCCTCTTCGGCATGGGCAAAGCCTAGGAAAGTATCTTAGCCAATGGGTTAAAGCGCCGAGCTGATAATGACCTCGGCACCCCTTCAACGCAGAACCAAGTGTTAGCGCCGAAAGAGCATGCAACACGGGTATGAAACCCGAGGTGCATAGCTCGCTCTGAGCCAGGCCTATTGAAGACAAACCGATAAACCGACCCAGGCGGAGAATAGATCGGGTGTATAGCCTTACTATGTTAACTCGCCTTGAGAAACCCCCTCCCTTTGGGGACCTAATTCTAACAGTTCGACAATATAGTCACTTCAGCAAAAGGAAAGAATGGCTGCACAACACTTAAAAACGAGCTCGCAGGCTTGGCACGTATCACTTCGGAAGCACACCTCCCTCGCCCAAAACATCAACAAGAACTTCGGCGACACTCGGGGCATCTGCTTCATCTTCAGAGTCCGGGTCGTTGTCAGCTGCGAGAGCCATCTTCAGAGTGATATGCGAAGTGGTTATGGCACGGGTGTCGAGTTTGGGGTACGCATGCCTTATCATCCACCGGCTCAGTTTGAAACCCCTCCGATACGAGACCACCATCAGGTTGTTGAAGCGCTCTGACACAATGTAATCATCGACGACCTTCACTTTAGTGTCCTCGAGGGCCTGGAAGAAGATCTCGGACTTCTCCTTGATATCAGCCTTGAGGTATTCCACCTTGTGCTCCAAGGCCCCTTTTGAGGTCGCGAGGTGCTTTACAACGAGCCTCAAGGCGTCGTTCTCTCTCCGGAGCCTCTCCAACTCATTCTTCTGAGCTGAAGTGTTGCCCTCAAGACAATGGATCTGCTCCCGAGCTGCCCTTAGTTTGGCATGCGCTGCATGGGAAGCCTCTTCGGCAACCTGTGCCCGCTTCAGACTCCTCTCTGATTGAAGAATTAGGGCGTGGATAGAGGAGTTCACTTGCCAAGTGAGAAACAAGTCAGCCCGGCGAGAAGAGAATAATACAGCATAAAGAAAAAGACAAGGGAGACCACTTCGACTTACCACCATAGCATGAGATGCAGCGCATGCACCGATGTGACCCGGAGGAAGGTCAGCCCATGCCGAAACCTCCGCAGGATAGACGGCCTTCTTGCTCTTGCGGAGAGCACAGCTCGGAGTCAGCACGCTACCAGCCCCCTCTTGGCTCCCCGAACTGGAGAGTATTGTCTGGGTATGGGAAGCTTCTGTGGTATCGACCTCCCGAGCTTCCGCGACCTCCGGGATAGGCCCGGCCACCTCGGGCTCCCTAGGAGACTCCAGGTTGATGACTGGAGGATAGCTTGGGACTTCGGGCTCCACAGGCCGAGGAGATTCGATGCGAGCCCGCTTAGCAACCCGCTTCCTTCTCTTCATCCCATCAAGCAAGTTGACACCACGGGTCTTCTCCGCCTCCATGACACCTGCAAAAAGAGCTCGACATCAGTAAAAAAAAAAAAAAAACCTGAGTAAAGAAACCTACCCGGACTCAGACCGGCTTGAATAAGCTTGGCCTCCATAATGTAATCTCCGCACTCGAGCCCGACCTGGGCCCAAGACTGGAAGGTCTCCGCCATGTCTTTATCTAACATGACAACAGGGTCAGGAACGACCGCCCTTCAATGAGTGGGAAACGGCCACCCCGTAGCACTTCGTACCATGAAGTAGTCTCGCTTCCATGCCGGGACCTTACTTGGAAGCTTGTGTAGAAGTTTAAATCCTGGGTGGGGAGACAGGTAATAGGCCCTATTGTGCTCGGGGAGGAAGCTCGCTTGCTTCTTAAGCATAAGAAGGGCGGAAAAAATTTCTAAGTCTAGAGGAATGACGTGTTCACACTAGAGGGAGATGGTCCCAACGACATTGCGGATGGAGTTCGGGTGGAGCTGACCAACGGTGATGCCGAAGTGATTCAAGACTTTGATGATTAGGGGATGAAAAGGAAGGCGCAGCCCGACAATGAGCTGCTCCCAGAAAATCACGATCTCATCCGGACCGTGATCACAAGGGAAGTCGCCCGTAGGTAAGCTATAAGTATACTCCCCGGGTAGGTTGAACTGACGAACAAGAGTCCGAAGTCTCTCAGATGTCATAGTGGAGGGTTCGAACTTGTTTGGCATCCGAACTCGACGATAAGTGGATTCCAGGCTACCAGAGGTGACCCGGACTGAAGGCCCTACCTCCGGCTCATCCAGAAGGCTGTCGAAAGAGACAACCCGACCCGTAGTCTCAGCCTCAGGCCCTCCTAAAAGACTATCTAAGATACCTGAACTACCCGAACTAGACATTGAAAAGGAAAGGAAATTGAAAGAAGCTAAGGGGACTCACCAAGGAAAAGCTACCAAACTAGGAAAAGTGACGTGAGTTGAAGACCTTGGACACGAGCTCAAGAAACAAGCACTGAATACTGGCGAAGGAAAAGTGACCAGGGCCCCCACTATTTATAGTCGCTATGCTCGCGCATCAACGGTCAAGATCAAAGCCATCCAACGGCTCTCAGGAAAACCGGCTGCACGACCCTCGAGGTGAAATCAGTTTAGCACGAACTTTTGACGTCCGAAAACTGATAATCGTTTGACATCCACGTGTGAGCTGTACACGACCCGGGTTGACCTTTAGTCGAGCCGAGCTGACCCTGGTCGAGCCAAGAGAAAAGGCGGGTCTGACCGGAGAATCTCCGAACTGGATAAAGCACGCCACGGGACAAATCCACCCGTCAGTCCGTGAACTCCCCACGCCGGGTCAAGACCCCGGGCACGGGGAGTGGGGGGCAATTGATGGAGGTAGATTTGGCCCAACCTCTTGGTTGTGCGACACGTGGAAGCAATCGGGTATGACCTAGCAGGAACGTCAGCTCGGCACATCGGCATAACCATATCCCAAAAAGAAGCCCAAGCTCCCCATGGAGAGGCCTCCGAGCTCCCCGAAAGGAACCCACGCTTCCCAAGAGGTGGAACCTGAGCTCTCCCTGGAAGTCCCGAGCCTTGCAAGGAACCCTGCAAAGGGCGAAGACCGGACTAACCCACCTCGGGTCCATCCGGGCCACACTCCTATCCGGACTCAAGACTTCATCTCGTACACCACTTTGACACCTCGACTCCAGGTTGCGTGACTGAATAAACCGTACCTGACAAAGAAGCCCGTACTCTGAGGCAGCGCGCCTAACTGGTCAGGAATTTGACAAATGACAACTGCACTCCAACGGCCACCTGCTACCGCCATCTCAGTTGTTGCAGAGATGACCCTGACAGAGAAGACAGTGGCGGTTATGCCTGTCCCCCACAGAGGCGGTTATACCTGATCTAGCAGTGGCTTGGGAGTGAGTGCACCTGGGTGGTTATAAAAGGCCCTCTTCCCCCAGAGTAAAGGTAAGTGATATTTTTGTGCCTTCTGGTATCTGAATCTCTCATTCTCCTTGCCTTCTCAAGAGTACTAACTTGAGCTTCGGAGCATTCCCACCGGGTTCCTCCCCCGAAATCTCTTGTTTCCTCCCTATTTCAGGCATCTCCTGCTCCGTCAGAGGCAAGGTTATCGGCAGCTAGGACCGACCGGATCGTGCTTCATTAGTATCGTATCGATCATCAAGACCCATAAAAACTTTATACACTTTTTCATTCTCCCTTTCTTCCAGCATATTGATCAACGTTCTGCATGTCGATCCACACACACAAGTGTCGGCTTTAGTATACTGGTCCAACTGATCCCAAATTCCCTTCAATTTAGCATAGTAATATGTGACATTTAATGACCATTGCCTGAATTCATTTAATTCCCCTTTCAACTGGTATATTCGGGGACCATGCCCTTGATGATATCTCTGTTGAATTTCAGTCCACAACTCCCTAGCATCATCAAAAGAAACTATAGTATTTTGTATGCTTTTGTCAACACAATTATAGATCCATGAAACAACCATAGCATTGCATTTATCCCAAGCATTCTTGTCACTATCATCAGCCTTAGTTTTGTCTAGAGTCCCATCAATAAAGCTCAATTTATTTTTAGATCTTAGGGCTCTTTGAAAAGCCTTTTTCCAAACATGATAATTTTCTCCATTAAGAATGATTTGGCTCAGAAGCATACCAGGACTGTCTGAGGAACTTAGATAATACACAGATGTGATCGACGAGATCTTGGAGGAGGCGGATGAGTTGTTGCCAGTCATCACTTCAGACGTGAAATCATAAAAAAATGCTGGATTAAATGAGTGTTTCGGCACACACCAAACCTCACTGCTACGAGTCACACAACTCGTTTTCTTCAACGGGCACACACCCTCTGAACGGATCAGTGGTGAAGATCACCACCGCTCTAATACCATGATAAAACCCAAGAAATTGGGATGATGATCAAACTCAAGAAATTAAGATGGAGAATTTCAATGAAAGAAACAATATTTTATAAAACCGTGATTCAAAGGCATGTTAGCTACAATATATACAAATTACAAGGCATAAAATTAGGCCCTAATAATGATCACCTACCTAATTTAGGACTCCTAATTATAGAGAATATCACTAGGTCAAAGATACAAATAAATCTTCCTATTAATACACCTTCCTATCAGGATCTAAGAATCGTACATGGAGAATATGGATGCCAAGATGTTTCAAATGCATGCCTTGTTGCAACAATTCTCTCAACAATATGGAATCCTTGTTCCGATCCCCCCTTCACATTCAGTTCAGGTAACAAATTAATAATAATGAACTTACTGTGTTTGTGGGTCGAGTTTTATTCAACTTACTAATTAAACTCACTTTTTTTTGTATCTGAATTTTCTTTAGTGAAGAAGAAAAATCTTACTTTTGGAAAGTTGAAATTAAAAAAACATATATAATTTGTATGAAGCATGGGTGCACGTAGTAGTATCTATGCTCTACAGCTCTTACCTTCCAAAGAAAAAAAAGTTAATAATTTATCAACACACAAACAACCACATGTAGTAGTAGCCAATCTTGTTGATAGACTTCACACCTTTTCTCCATCATTTTCCAACTCCATTATAGAGAATGCTTCCAAATGATTAAACAGGCAAAATCCAGTATAAGAATGATATTATAGATAATACCTTTAAATCCTTGGCAACAAGAGACTAAAGCAAGAAGCGACAAGAATATTATTACTTCCCCAAAGAATATATTCTGTCATTTAGTTACATGGGATTTTGGCCATTTACAGGAAGCCTTAGCAATAAGAGCCTAGTGTACATTTTTTGTTGGTAGTATATGAAATTTTGATTGGTAAGATATGTACTTTTTTTATTGATAACTACAATTTTTATTCATGGAAGGTAAGATATGTTTTTGATTTCTCAACCTTAAACCCTGTCCCCCCACCACACACACAAACGCACAGACACAACCTTGGTGAAGGTAGGAATTGATCTCGGGTCTCCACTATACAAGCAACTATACTTAAACAACAAGCTAGCTGGCACCTTCAAAATTTGATTGTTAAAAACCATGAATCAAGGGAGGGATATCAACAGGCTTTGCTCAATCCAAACAGCAAGCTATCTGGCACCTTATATTCCTTTTTTTTTTCATTTAATTAAAGAGATTTGTACAAATCAATCTAACAGATGATTTGCAACCACGAAAGATTTAAATGTTTCCTAGATTCTTTGTTTAGTTTATGAAAAATACTTTATTCATATTTTTCTATTACTTCTAGGTGCAGAGCCATGGGTTGGCAAATATTCCAATTTATGGTGGAAATAATTTCCATCCCAATCTTGAAGTAACACCACCAAACCTAGCAAGTCATTACAAGTTGGATTTTATTTTTCACTTACTCATTATTTTTAGCATGAAAATAATAATGAATTCTCATTACTTTGTCTTTTATGTGCAGAGATGTAAGTTAACAACCACTTAGAAGATAATTCTCATCCAACTCCAAAAGTACCATCACCAAACCTGATAACTTATCACAAGTTTCATTTATTTTTCATGTGTAAAAAATAATATTGTATTTCTTTGTCTTTTTTAATAGATGCAAGAGTCTAGAACAATGTCATCTCAAGTGCCTACGAGAGGGGTGTATAAGGGGAAGGGCAAGGGAAAGACACTCTTTTGATGAGTATTTTATTTTTTCCTTTTTTGTAATATTTTAATATAATTTGCACTAAAATCTGAACAATTATGAACATATATTACCTTTTATCTAATATTGAATTTCAATTTTTAATAATATTATCTTTTATTTTGAATGGTTACGTGTGATTTAATGAATGGATATAAGATTTTTGTTAAAAATGAATATGGTGGACTATATTCTGATAAAAAATATAATGGATGTTTCATTGGAACAGATTAACCATAGCATTAGTAGACACTCGGGGACTCTGTTGACTACTTGACCAAGGTTATTCCACTGAGTCTAAGGATAGAAATGGGGCCTCATAAATGGATGTTGCGATACTCTCTGTTGCAACCGTGGCTGCTGTAGGTCCATTGCTTATCTGTTCTTGAACTTTTTAATGTATTTCTTTTAGAATTTATATTTGCATATTCTTGTATATACTTATTTTATTTATTTATTTAGGACTTCAAAATTAATTGCTTGATAGCGGATTTCTTTGTTTTTTATGTTCCATTGCTGGTTCTTGATAACATATTCCCTGTAATCTCTAAATTCTATGTTTTGGTATTTGGCATCACAGAGTTTGCCAGCAATGGAATTGTGGATTTATTTTCCTGTCAAATCATACGCAAATTAGAACCATAGAATAGGAGTTAACAATCCTAATGCTGCCTGATACACATAGTGTGCAGCCAAAGGTATTCTGACCCATAATTGATGGATCTTCACACAAGGTTATCTTGGAGAAAACTTGATCAAAGTGATCATAATCCTCCGACCACTCTGAACAAACTTGATCTTTAAACAGTGGTAAAATTTTGAATCAGATGGTCCCAAGACAGGTTGACTTCCAGACCTCTTGGGGCAAACCTGGTCAAAGTGATTAGAATCATCTGATCTCTCTAAATAAACTTGATCAGTAAATAGCGATAAAGCTTTGGATCAGATAGTCCCTAGATAGGTAGGCTTCCAAATCACTTTGGAAATCCAACATGTAAAACAGTAGGAAGTAGGGAATAATATAGATCAATATTTATTTTCACAATGCACTTTATGCCTCAAAATCTCCACATGTACAAGGGTTGGCCCTCCTCATGGCCCCATCCATGTATATTTTTTTTTGCAAGCATACCCTTTTGACATTGACTGGGATGCTATCCTTTATGACCCAACTCAGCTTTTGATAGTTGATATTTTAAGTGGTAAGTTGCCACCTTGAATTCAATGATTTCTATTTTTATATGGTAGTAAAATTCAGTATAAAACAAGTTGTACTAAATTGACAGCTAGGATGAAAACAAATGCCATGGATACATCATTTCCGAAAGTTTATGCATCTATTTTAGTAAACGAAAATATATTGTGGCATATAGATATCAGTTTGTATATGTTGTCAAGTGTATAAGAAAATTTAAGCATAAATTCAATAATTCCATGAAATTATGAAACAAGAAAAATAAAAGGTTTTATACTTACACATTTCTGAACTTGTATTCAATACATATTACAATACACACACACCATCATAATCATCACCAACAATAATATGGTTGATGATGGAAAATGGAGAACCCTTGGATGACAAATCAGGAACTTAATCTTACAATTGTTATTCCAAGCCTTGAAATATACCATGTTGTATTGGTCAATGGTCTCTCCAAACTATGTAAGGTTTCTTATAAGCTACATTGCTTGTTGTTACTGATGAGTATTGATGCATTCACCATTATACTAAGGGCCTGTTTGTTTCCTCTTAACTCTTATCTCTTAACAAAAATCTTTTAACTTTAAAAGAAAAATGGTTGTTGGTTTCCTCTTATATTTTATCTCTTGAAGCGTAATCATACAACTTTTTGTTTTCTAATGATACATCGAAAAAGACAAACAAAAACTCTCATATATGGGGTCAAAATGGATATTTGATAATTTTTAGAATTCAGAAAAGTTCACCAATACCAATACACCTCTTAATGTAATTGTTGAAATAATTTAGTTACTTGTTTAGGGTCTGTTTGGCTTGTTAAAGCGGTTTTTTTATTTTCTGTTATTTTTGTTATTGTACTCACTTACAACAGGGGCACAAGGGTTTTTTCCCTTCTTATTTCTGCCGCCTTATATAATATAATAGAAGCTAGCGCCACTAGCACTGTTCTATTGCTCCAATCCTTTTCTTCTTCCTTTCTTCCTTCTCCTTTTCTCTCTTCTTCCCTTCTCTTCTCTACTTCCTCATATTTCAATCRGATTTATTGCCAAGATGGTATCAGAGCAAGGCTGTTGAATCTGGGCGACCAAGTTTTTTCTCTTCAAGTTGTTGAATCTGGGCTAATCAAATCAGATCTGCAACTGGTACAACCCTAAGGTTTTCTTTCTTCTTTTATTTCTTTCCTTGGTCGTGTACCAAGTGGAGAGCAAATGAATCCAAACCACTGAGTGTCGATAGACTTTTCTGAGGGTTATATTTTTTATTTGTTGGATCGTGTGATACTGTACCTATGAAAAGGTGACTGTAGGTCATAGATGACCTATTTTCTCTGCTCATTAGTCTGATTTCATGTGTGTTAGGATCTCTCTTATTGATTAATGATGTGGTGGAACTTACATGTTATTGATTAATGTTGTGGTGAAAATCAGTCTCGTCATAGTTCTTCTTTGGAAATTGGTGCTATTTTTTGTGCTCAAATTAAGTACAGAACTGAATTATTGTTTGTGGAGCTTTTGTCGATATAAGGAGGGATCCTAAGTTAAGAGTTTAGATAAAAAATTCTTGTGCTTACCATGTCGTTTGAGAATTTTGCTACTTCAGAGATTTCAAGGAGTCACAATGGAGTCAGTGGGGTAATGGATATGAATTTCACCATGGCTGTTATTCCCTTTAATGGTCTGAACTACCTTGAGTGGTCTAGGGGAATAAAACTCTACATCACTGCTAGGAGGAAAATATGATACATCAATGAGAGAGTGAAGGAACTGAAGAACGGAAGTGCTGAATATGATAGGTGGAACCAAGAGAATAGTATGGTGATGTCATGGCTCTTGGTTTCCATATTGTCACAGGTAAGGAAGACTTTTATGTGGGCT